CTCCACTGCCCAGAATTACAGTCACGTCTTGTTAACTGGATCCCCCTAATTTGGCATGATAAGCTCATGCTTATCTTTGCACTGTCTTTGAATAAAAGTAGTGCCAAGCAAATTAGTAGCAGATATTCAGGACTTATTTAGCCTATTCAATGTGTAAAATAGCACTAATTTTTCCCAGGAGGACTGCTTTTCCAAATCTGAGAGGAGTTTATTTCAGATTTGCTTTATAAAAACAAAAGGCATAATTAGGGACATTAAAATTTATTTAAATTCCAACCACTGAAAGGTCATTTTTCTTTTATTTATTGATACTCTGCTTTGTTTTACAAACAATTTGTGAAAAAGAGGACACTAATGAAAATAACACTAATATAATAAAGAGTTAGGATCAGAAAAATACTAATAAAAATTCAAGGGAAAGAACATCATATGGTATCCATTAAGGGTTTAATACACAACTATAGTTGTATAATAATCAAGTTTAAATTTGGCCAATTTAACTGCCAGTCACAATAAAAGGGAGCCGGTTCAGTGACATAATTTTCATTAGAAAGGCACATTTAAGTTCCTCCAGGCAAATCAAACACTATGTTCTAAAAAGGGTTTCTTCTAGAAGTGGATTTCAAAAGGGCTGCCAAATGATGACACAGGAAACAAAAAGCGTGGCCAACATTCAGGAAGTAGATACAGATTACAATGGCAAGTGTTTCTGGACCATGTCCCATGCTTTTTTTTTTTTTCTCCCTTTCTACCCTACTTTATGCTTTCTCCTTTTACTTCGTTTATTCTTGTAAGCTGCCTTAAATTCCTCCTGAGGAGGGCAAAGAATACACAAATCTTTTAAGGAATTTATTTAAAATACACAATTTCTTCAAGATCTATTACTATGTGCAAGTTTGCTCCTTATTACCAGTAGGCGCCAGACTGCTATGTTTCGGCTTTACTGTACTTGCTTTTTATAGGTGATAAATGGCCTCTGCCTCTTTGCGTGTTGTAAGCTAATGTAAATTTTGAAGCTGGCGTGATGTAGTTCATGGGGTCTCAAAGAATCGGACATGACTTAATGACTGAATAACCACAAAAAGTTTAGAAACCAAATAATCAACCTGTCCGACTGTGTTTAAAATGAGAGCAAACAGGCCCCAATTAAAACAAACCAAATGTGGGATAATTTAAAAAGAAAATGCATAATATTCATTGTTTGATAGCATCTATTTTGTCAACTCAGCCTGCTTTTTTGCTAACTTCCTAGTGTTCATTTTTTTTTCAATCTTTCAAGATTGGTGAGGTATTTCTGCAACATGAAACATTATTTTTCCTCTTAATTTCAAAATGGAGAAACAATATTTAGGCAATTAAATTTTAAAGATATGCTTGTAATTTACCAAAAATAAAAAAAAATGTAAAGAGAACTGCATCTAGCAAAACAAGTTCTTTTTCACAACGCTCCCCATGTAAAAGCATATCTCTGGGAGAAAGGAAGAACACAAAAGTACTGAAATTATTCTTAAACAACTGTCCTTGAATGGTTCCTGATCACAGTTTTGGGGTTTTAAAAAGGCAAACAGTAAGTATAACACTATTTGGATAAACTGGAAAATTATGCAAATAAAGTTATTTTGATTTGTCATTACATTAAAAAATCTATTCCCATTCTTACCTATTAGTATTTAAGTTCAGTCCAAGAGAATGAGGAGAATTTTTTATATCAGATTCTATAGAAGATGAAGCTTTCTGTGAGGGTTTCCCCAAGTCAAAATCTTCCATAGTGTACAGAAATTGTTACACGCTCTCATTTGAAAATTCAGGTTCTTGCACTGTTTGAAGAAACTGAATCTGAGTCATCTTCAGATGCTTCATCGTCTACAGGCATTTTCAGTTGCTGACATTCAGAAGTGTACTATCTGAAGGTCCCAGGAGAGTCTGCAAATCAATGAGGAACAAAATACTATTACAAAAAACTTTGTCAAAACTTTAGAAACCTTGATCCTTTTATACAAATCTACATTAAGGACAGCAACACTTTTCGTAATAGTCAAAATTCAGAAACCACTCAAATGTCCATCGACTGTTGGATAAATAAATGTGGTGTATCCACGTGACATGAAGAGCTGATTCATTGCAAAAGACCCTGATGCTGGGAAAGACTGAAAGCAAAAGGAGAAGGGGGCGGCAAGAGGACGAAATGGTTATAGACAGCATCACTGACTCAATGGACATGAATCTGAACAAACTCCAGGAGATAATGGAGGACAGAAAAGCCTGGCATGCTGCAGTCCATGGGGTCACAAAGAGTCAGACAAGGCTTAGGGACTGAACAACAACAATCCATATAATATTTCTCAGTCATAGAAAATAATAAAGTGCGGAATTATGCTACACTGTGGATAAATATTTAAAACATTATGCTAAAGGGAATTCTCCGGCGGTCCAGGGGTTAGGGCTCAGATCTGTCACTGCCATGGGCCCAGGCTCAAACCCTGGTGGAGGAACTAAGACCATGCAAGCAGCAGAAGGTGCAGCCAAAAAAAATACACACACACACACACACACACAAAGTAAAACAAGCCCAACAAAAGACCCTATCATATGATTCCATTTATACAAAGTATCTAGAGTAGGCAAATCTATAGAGAAAGAAAGGAGAGAAATGGTTGCCAGGAGCTGGGAGGAGAGAACGACAATGACCAAAATGGGCATAGGGTGTCTTTCTGGGGAGATGAAAAGTTCTAGAATTAGACAGTGGTGATGAATGCACAACCCTATGACTATACTAAAAAAAGGCACTGAATTGTACACTTTAAAAGAATAAATTTTATGGTAACTTGTATCTCAATAAAAAATCTACAGTAACAGTGATTTACAGAAGTAGCAGGAGTAGTTGAAGGCAGGAGGAGAAGGGGATGACAGAGGATGAGATGGTAGGATGGCATCACTGACTCGATGGACATGAGTTTGAGTAAGCTCCGGGAGCTGGTGACGGGCAGGGAGGCCTGGTGTGCTGCAGTCCATGGGGTTGCAGAGTCGGACACGAATGAGTGACTGAACTGCACTAGTATTTTTTCAGGTAACGTTTCAAAACTTTAGGTGCTTAATAAGCAAGATTCCAGACACAATTCTGTGTAATATTGGAAAACTTACATGCCCTGTTCATTCCTTTAATACATTTTATCAAGCATGCTTGCTGATTTATACCATGAATAGATGAATGGGAACTACTTAGTATTTAATTTGGTATTGAAAACAGCCAGTTAAACTGTTAACAATGCTTGTTTCCCCACTGAAGGTGGGGGTGGAAGGAATGCATTTTGCACTATATACTATACACACAGAGTACTTTTAATTACTTCTGAAAAAATAAACTATTTGCCAGGTCCACTAAAATTTAACTGAAGCCAGATATACAGAGGTAAACTGGCTATAACAGGTCAATTGCCTCCTTTTTAAGGAATTCATGTACTTAAAAAAAAAAAAAGCCAAGGAATAACAGGGGGGGAAAAGAATAAAAGAAAACCTATGCCGCTTACAAGATGGAAGCTTTAGGGAACGCAATAGAGGAAAACACTTTATTATTCTGGTTCCTCTAGGTTCCCACTTTCTACGGCCTGGTTTCACAAAGCACAACCTTGAAAGCATCAGCTCACAAAGGAACCGTTTCCTTCAGGGATAGGTGTGAAGGCCAAGGGTAACCCGACCTAGTTAAAAAGATTTCTCCCCAGTGATTCAACCCATCACCAACGACAAAGGGTACTGACAAACTCAGGGGCCGCACCTTCCATCTGGCAACGAAAACACCTGAATTCAAATCACCTTGCTCTTCCACCAGGAAAACGCAAGCTCTCTGGGGACATGGATCTGCATGCAACCCCATCTATTATTTCCCCCCATGAGTTAATCCAGACGCAGTAGATCCAGATGGATCTTGAAATGTGATGATGCCTCCCCAGCAGAGCGTGGGGGTGCGGAGAGGGATGGGGTGGGGGAGATGAGTGTTTTAAGAAAGATATACAATGCAGAATTTTAAGAACCTGATGGAGAATGGATATAAGAACAGAGACGTTTTTGTATTTCCCACAAACAAAATATGACGCTTTGGATGCCCCCAGCGCCAAAAGGGAAAAAGGGAGTTAGAAAGAAAGGGAACGACTGATACGGGGTCTGCTGAGAATATAAAAGTTAACCAGGCGTTCTCCTTTGTTGGGAACCCGAGAAGGGGAAAGAAGGGATGATTTCAGGTTTTGAGGCCAGATTCTGACATTTCGGCCCTGACAGCCAGACCGCCGCTGCTGGTTCTCGCCTAAATTGTAGCCAGCAGGGAGGCCGGAGTTAAAACTATCGGTGCAACAACTACATTACTGATTCTCAAAGGAAGCCCAGGAACCAGGTCAAAAAAAAAAAAAAAAGGCGAAATCCCTCAAGCCCCCCGCCCCTGGGGAAAAGACGCTCAGCGATTGGGCCGCGCGGGTGTCACTCAAGGGCACAAAGTCTAGAAAAGGCGTACGGACGGTGGCAAAGCCCCCACACGCCCGCGGGCTCCGGTGGGGTGGTGTCGCCTGCCCGTTGTCTTCCCCCCGCCAACCCATCAGAACACTCAGGGGTCCGCCGGCTCGGTGTCCTCGACGTCGCGCCCCCTGTCCCCTGCGACTGGCAGCTCCCCGCAGGCCGGCGGCCACTTACCTGGCCGCCGCTCCCACTGCGGATGTCAGGGTCGGGCGCTCGGCCTCTCGTGACCGTTAAACTCGAGGGAGCGTGCGCGCGCCCGGCGTCTTGGTCGCGATTGGTTGCTTGGAAGGGGGCGGAGACGGCCGTGCAGCGGCGCGCGCTTCGGCTTACCCCTTCCTGTCCCCCAGCTCCCACCAGAGACAGAGGTCAGCCGCCTGGGAAACGAGAGGGGCGGGGCAGCTGTCAAGTCCTCTCCTCTGATTGGCTCTCTGGGTACCTACGGTAGCTACGCGGGAAAGACTCCTTAGCTTCTCGCATGCGCAATAGGTAAGACGGGGGAGAGCTCTCAGACCTGAGGGCAGCTGTGGCGGTAGAGCCGCGCGTGCGCAGACCGGGAAGCGAGTTAGCGATTCCGCTCCTGCGGTGATTACGATTCCTCCAGACCATTGGGGGCGGAAGGCCATTCCTGAGGTCAGGTAAGAGTCTGTGGAGAAGCTCGGCATCCACGCGGTTGCTTACGATCATCAGGGGCTCTGGAGAGAGGACTGGGATCTGGAATACCTGAATTTCCCTGTTTTGCGACCCTGAGTCGCGCCGCCCATTGACCCGAAGGCCCCACTGGCGGTGAGATGAAGCCGGCCCCGACACCTGAACTAAATTGTCCCTGGATCTGATTTACCTTAGGCTGGTGGGGGGGTCAGCACTGGGCTCTTCACGGACTTGGGGAGCGGGCGACGACGAGATCCCACCGTTATGGAGAAAACAGTTCCACCGAGGCCGAAAGGCTTTACTTGTTCGGCAGAGCCTTGGGTAGTTATGATCATGCAGCTGGGCCTGTTTTAGGCATCGTGAGGGTTTTGCTCCTGCCAATTCTTTCGAAGGACCACAGAGAACCCACGTCCCTTCCCGTGGGCCCCCCAGCCCATCTCACAAGCACTGTTCAGTCCGCGTTTTTCAGACAAAAGTACTTTAAAGTACTTCCAGCTCTAAGTGTCCCGAACCCTCAGTAAAGGCACTTCGCTAGCCCTGTCCTTAGGTGTACCTGAGTAGCCAGGATGCAGGGGCAGAAGGATGCAGGATGCAGAAGCCAGGAGCAGATGTTATTTGCCTTTGGAATAACAAATATGCCAAGAGGCGTTTCATCTGATCGGGGCCTTCTAAAAACACCTAACAATTTTGTCTCAACAGTAAAAATTCTCTCCAAAATCTTATCAGTGTATGGAAAATCTCAAGCTTAAATAAATCAAATAATCCTCCCAATTGTGTTAATCCACCAATCAGTGCTGTGTTTAATACCTAAACTAAATCAAATTACTTTTAAGCACACAGGCTCTATTTTCAATGTCTATTTCAAGTCCATCAAAAAAACAAAACAAAAAGCAGTTTTACCACTAATTTCAGTTGGTTAGAAATCTGATTGAGATACTGTAGAATCTTGCACTCACAAAAGAATGGGAGAGTGGATTTCTAGGCCAGCTCCAGGCAAAGGGAGATATGTTTCCTCCAAGAAAAATGTTAACCCCAGCATCAGTACTGGATATTAGTTCCTAATCATGCACTAGGCACGAGAGCATGGCTTTTCGATACAGAATCAGATGGATTTTGTTTCAGTGCGTTTCTGTTTTTGGCAGTGTGATTTTAGGTAACTTTCAAAAAACCTATTATTCTGCTTTTAATTAATAAGCCAACATGTTCAGGAGCTAGTATTCTGATCAACCAAGTTATCTTGTTAACGAACTGATATGAAATATTTTGGTAAAGGTACTCACACCTTATTTCTTAATTTAAGCTCTTTGAAGGGGTCTAAATGTTTACAAATTCGGAGTGGAAATTGCTTTTGACTAATTGGACTAAAAAGAAGCTTTATAAAAATAACGAGGGAAGAGAAAGCTCTAGAAATACAAGTACGTGCTGGGTGCTGCGCTTAGTGACTCCGTCGTGTCCAACCGTCTTTGACCCCACGGATTGCAGCCTGCCAGGCTCCTCTGTCCGTGGGGATCCCCCAGGGGATCTTCCCAGCCCAGGGACAGAACCCAGGTCTCCTGCCTCGCAGGTGGCTTCTTTACCATCTGAGACACCAGGGAAGCCCAGTAACAATTCATCTAATTTAACCTCCCTCTCCTTATACTGGAGATTCTGCATTACTTAGGTGCAAGCTTACACTAATATTTTATGGCTTTATAAGGGTGTCGTTACCATATGACTTTATTATAACATCATATTGCTCAAGTGGGGCTTCCCAGGTGGCTCAGTGGTAAAAAATCCACCTGCCAATGCAGGAGCCACAGAAAATGCGGGTTCAGTCCTTGGGTTGGGAAGATCCCCTGAAAGAGGAAATGGCAACCCACTCCAGTATTCTTGCTGGGATAATCCCATGGACAGAAGCCTGGCGGGCTACAGTCCATGGGGTCACAGAGAGTCAGACACAGTGGAGCGACTGAGCATGCATTGTTTAAGTATTCCTCTTTTGCCATGAAGGCTTCAAATGACAGTTTTGAGTGGAGCTCCTTGATTGGGATAAGATTAGGCTATTCAGTAATACTGGCTGTTAATGGCTTGAGACATTTAATGTCTGTTAACCAGGGTGTTACTTGGTGTCAGTAATTCTTATATCCAAACAGCTTGTCATTGATAGGGGTTGGGGGAGGGCTGTCCCCCACAGGAAAAATGAGGAACTCTAAAACTAAAACCATTGAACATGAAAATGAATGATCAGGTGTACATTTAAATATGACTTTTTTTTAACCTTTCCTACCCCTCATAATTTTTCTTACTCTATCAGATAATTCCTAAAGATCTGTATGTTTAAACCAGGACTTGCTTTGATGAAGATAGTTTTTATCTTTCAATTTGAAACCAGCTGGGAAGTCAAGCTATATTCTCGGCATCATAATTACCTCTCTGGCACCTGACTTCATAGACCACAATTATGACCTCACCAAACAACGAGTCTTTGGTGATCGCATGGTCCCCAAGTATTTCTTAAATTGGACCATACCAAGTAAAATAGTTTGCAGGTCATGTTCTAGATGTCTTTTCTCTGAGCTTTTAAAACAAGCCCATGAAATAATCCGTTTGCAGACTGGGCTTGTGTTTTGTTAGCCAGAGGTTGCTGAGCTTTCTGTGCTTTGGAGCACCACTGAGTGCTTTAAATCTGTGGCGACATGTGCAATTTTTTTTTTTTCTCTTCCTAGATGATATAACCTCCATTTTACAGATTTGGAAACATGGCCAGAGCTGCACAATGAGTAAATCATGGCGTTGAGACACTGACTCAGGTCATGCTGACTACAGAGCAGTATGGCCTGTCAGGGACAAAAAGTCAAGAGAAAGGGTCAAAAGAAAATTGAAAATGAGCTAATACTCTTTAAGGAGCTAGGGGAAGAACAAATCTGAAGATGTTATGAAAGGTTAAGAAACAAGGGGTGGGAAGGACAAATTTAGTTTAAATGGAATGTTCTTCCAAAGTAAGTCTTCCTGAAATATTCCACATAGTATGCATCTCGTCTTTTATTTGTATGAAATACAATAATGTATTCAAACATGGTTTGGAAACAGACGTCCTAAACAAATACAAGGCATCATTAATAGAGTCCCTAGTGGCTCAGATGGTAAAGTGTCTGTCTACAATGTGGGAGACCTGGGTTCGATCCCCTGGGTCAGGAAGATCCCTGGAGAAGGAAATGGCAACCCACTCCAGTACTTTTGCCTGGAAAATCCCATGGACGGGGGGAGCCTGGTAGGCTACAGTCCATGGGGTCACAAAGAGTCAGACATGACTGAGTGACTTCACTTTGAGACTTTTAGAGAAAAATGTGCAGTGTAATCATTGCTGCTTTTTTGTGTGTCTGTCTTATTTTAATAGCATAGTTGATAAATAACAGAGTTCCTGTTAGGCACCATAAATAGAAGAAAATCACAGTGATGCACCCAAATAGGACAGGTGTAATTGTGGATTCAACATTTTCTGTTTAAAAAAAAAAAAACAACTGAACAGGCTGTTGGTATTGTATGAACTGAAAGCTTTTCTTTTTATCTACTTCATTACTTGTCTCTTGAACTGGGCAGCAGTAAGCCTATTGAATTTAAACCAAACTCGGGAGTGGTCTCCTTATCCTCTTGTCTGCCCCAGTCAAGGACAACAGTTGTCCTTTCCTGCTCAGTCCATTATGCTTTTCTTTTTTTGAGAATTAGTTCTCTGGAAACACTGGCTGGATGGTGCTTTCTCTTCAGTGGAGAACTCCCAGCCTAGGAAATGACAGGGTCTGTGTTAAGCCTGAGCCACAGTTCCCTGGGGTTTTGTTTGGGGATGTGTTCCAGCCCTCATGAGGGATTGGATTTGGGTTTCCTAGGTAGCTCAAACCGTAAAGAATCTGCCTGCAAAGCTGGAGACCTGGGTTCGATCCCTGGGTGGGGAAGATCCCCTGGAGAAGGGCATGGCAACCCACTCCAGTATTCTTGCCTGGAGAATCCGATGGACAGAGAAGCCTGGTGGGCAGCAGTCCATGAGGTCACAAAGAGTCAGACGTGACTGAGCGACTTTCACTTCACTTCTTCACGAGGATTTCAGGTAACCAGAACAGAAGCATGAGCTAGATGTGAAAGGGAAAGAAAGGGTGCTTTCTCTTTACTCCCATTCGGCAGGGAACACCAAAACACACTTTTGTGGGTCTTTTCAAATGTATTTACTTATGTATTTGGCAGCGTCAGGTCTTAGTTTCAGCACACAGGATCTTCCTTGAGTCCTACAGAATCTTTTTCTGCATCACATGGACCCTCTGTTGTGGCGTGGGCTTAGTTGCTTCATGGCAGGTGGGATCTTAGTTCCCAGACCAGGGATCAAGCCCACGTCTCCTGAATTGTAGGGTGGATTCTTAACCACCGGATCGCCAGGGAAGTCCCCAAACACACTTTCAAAATATAGATTATTATTAAACATTTCTCAGAAAATCCTCTCACTTAGCTTCTGGTGCCATCAGCTGGCCATTTTGTCTTTTTAAAAGCTCACTGAATTTGGTTCTTCATCATTGATGGATCATTGTTTTTGAGATCTAGTTTATCTCCTTCAGGAAGGGGAAACAAGACCATGACTAAGCAGGTAAACAGCCCTGCTGCATCCTGGCCTCAACTTCTGAAATATTATCAACATAAGAGACAACAAGCTCTGAAAAGCAGCTGGAAGAACTTGCTAATTCCTGTGTCCTTTGCTTCTCAAACTTCAACATGCTGCTGAATCACTTGAGGATCTTATTAAAACGCAGGTTCTCATTTAGAAGGCCTGGGGTAGGACCTGAGATTCTTCTAACAAGCTCTCGGTGGTGCTGCTGCTCCATGGACCACACTCTGATTGCAAGACTCCAGAACTCCCTTATCCACTACAGTAGCTGTGAGCACTCATGGCTAGTCCAAACTGACATGTGCTATAAGCGTGGCCACACCTCAGATTGTGCAGACCTCAAATAAAAAGAAAATCTCAATAATTTTTATATTGATGACATGTTGACCTAATTATATTTGGAATGTATTGGATTAAGTAAAGTATATTGAAATTTACTTCATCAGTTGCTATTTACTCTTTTTAGTGTGGCTTAGAAAATTTAGAATTTCACACGTGGCTTGCACTGTATTTCTATTGGACATTGCTGTTCTAGAACATTAATGCAATAGACGCAACATTTTTGGTGTTCTTTTTTCAGATGACCCAGTTTCTCAATCCCCTCGTGACCATTTCACCTGCTCTTTTTGCTCAACTTGACATTCATTTCATTCTTTTCTCCAAATGTTTTTCCTCTCTTGCCTGTTCCTTCCCTTTCCACCTTCTCCACCTTCATCATTGTCAACACAATCCTAAGGCTCTTACCCAGCAGTCATATAATCCTGAGAGCCAGGACTGCAGGTAGCAGCCACCTTACATGGGAGCTGGTTAGAAAGGCAGGGTTTCAAGCCCCACCCCAGACCTAATGAGCTTCGTTCTGTTTAACAGGATCCCTAAGGGATTTGTCTGTGCATGAAAGTTAGAGCCATGAAAGCATGACCTATCACCTTTTCTATTGTTGTCATTTAGTCACTCAGTCGTGTCTGACTCTTTGCGACCCCATGGACTATAGCCCTCCAGGCTCCTCTGTCCGAGATTCTCCATGGCAAGAATACTGGAGTCAGTTGCCATTTTATTCTCCAGGGGATCTTCCTGACCTAGGGATCGAACCTGCTTCTCCTGCTTGGCAGGCTGATACTTTACCACTGAGCCACCTGAGAAGCCCCATCTTTCCTAAAGCACCCCATTTCAGTGAATCTCCACACCTGTTCCTTTGCTTAGTTTGGGCGATTCCTGCAAGGTTGATACACTAAGAAGTTGTGTCTAAGAAACTAGTACTCTACCTTTCTAAAACATCATCAGTGAATGGTACGCAAATGGCATCCAGAAGGCGGGTCCAGAGCTAATCCTGAGCCTTCCAGATTCAAATACCCTCTCTGTGTCTAAGACGCACAGGCAGTAGCCTCCCCTTACCACTCTCCAGAGCTTTTGAGCCATTGGTGAAACAAGCCTCACCTCGCTGCCCCTTGTTTAAAGTCTGTGTGTGCTCCAATCACAGGCCACATTCCAGAGCAGGGCATGCTACCCCTGAGCTAGGCGCCTGTCTTGGTTTGGGCTGATCATGTAAGCCAGAGGAGGGACTCTGTGCTGGCTCCTATCAGGAACAAAGGCATCTAATAGGATGTAGCTTCGAAGTCCTGATAACCAGCCTTCCGGGTGACTTGGGGGCACAGTAAAGTCTGAGAACCAATGCTCTCTGGCATCTTGTCCAGGCTAGGTTCTGGCACATGCCTTACTTACAGACGTCTCCATTTCTGTTTTATGCTGCAGTCTCAGACTCATCGAGGCATACAGTAGATGCTGAAAATATTCATGGAGCAAATTAACGTTCTCTATTGTAATGGCATCTGCCCTCTTATCTTCAACTTGACCAAGTGAGAGAATGCTGCTTTAACCTAAACTGCAGTCAGCTGTCTAGTGAAGACGCCGCCCTGTAAGGAAAAGCAGAGCGGAGGGGAGTCCGGGTGGAGACCCCACCCAGGCCTCAGGCTCACACCAACAGAAAGGGATCCAGGCCTGCTGTCTCCACTGCTGGTTTCCCCTTGCTCACACTGCTTGTTACCGTTTCTCTTTTTTTTCATGTCACGATGAGCTGTAATTCGAGCTGCTTTTATTGTTCCTCAAAGACTTTGGGTTGCTCTGTGGGTATCACAAAAACTGAAATCCAATCTGTATTCTTCTCCGGCCTTCGGGGAAGTGGAACCACGGGTGTGTTTGTCATTTTTAGCCATTACTGGAGTCCAGCCAGAGCTCCAGGAGATACTCTAAGTATTTGGAATCATCCGATTGGCCGTTGGAATTAGCTGTTAGACAAAGCAGCCAGTAACTGAACACTGGGGACCTTGGTGAACTCCAGTCGGGTGGGAGACCTTCCTGTGTGTGTCAGCTCTGAACTAGGACAGAGAGGTAGACTTGAAGCGCTTCAAGCTGGCAGCAAAGCAGCTGATAAAAGTGCTCTCCTCCTCTCCACCCTTTGTCTGGGAGTTTCGCCCTGTCTCAGACCTCTTTCCTTTTCTTTGTGGCCACATTATATTCTACCGCCATCCTGCCTGGTCAGATTTCCTAACGGAAGGGCAGCCCCAGGAGAGGCACTGGGCTCCTGTTCCATGAACCTAATCCAGGGACCAGACACTAATACACAAAGGAATTCTGTTCTGTAGACTGAAAGCAGAAAAAAAGGGAAGGGAATTGTGGACATTGACTTGGTCTCACTCAATCATTTATAGGGGAGCGGATTCTCTGTTGTAGAGATGGCAGAGAAAGGCTTTATCGTTCATCTTTTCCTGAGGATTCTTCTGACATTTCATACAATAAACAACCCATTTTTAAAGAACCATTCTCATTGGCATACTCTTGTTTCAGAACACCTCCCCTGGTAGCCACGGAGCATCTTATGAACCAACACCTCCTTAATTATCACCCTCTGGGACTGACAAAACATGGTGAAAGTTGTACTTTTCACAAAGAAGATATGAGTTTAGACCAGAGGTTCCCAGCCTCCCAGGGGCTTCCCTGGTGGCTCAGCAGTGAAGAATCCGCCCGCAGTGCAGGAGCCGCAGGAGATACAGGTTGGGCCTCTGGGTCAGGAAGATCCCCTGGAGGAGGGCGTGGCAGCCCACTCCAGTATTCTTGCCTGGAGAATCCCATGGACAGAGGAGCCTGGCCCACTACAGCCTTTAAGGTTACAAGGAGTTGAACGTGACAAGCGACTGAGCACACCTGCACGCCCCACCCTCCGGGATGTAAGGCCTGGTGATCTGAGTTGGAGCTGAGGTAATAATAATAGAAGTAAAGTGCACAATGAATGTAATGCGCTTGATTCATCCTGAAACCATTCCCCACCCCTGTGGTCCATAGAATAATTGTCTTCCGCGAAGACAACTGTCTGCCAAAAAAGGTTGCGGACCACTGGTTTACACCGTAGTGTCAGTTACAAGATTGAAAGCCAGCACTGGCCTAAAGACTGAAAAGTATATTTCATTTTATTCATTTTCCATAGAGAGATGAAGAATACTGTATTCATTCTGGAAATAACCCATGTGGTCTGTACTGATAACTAAGATAGGCACTTGGATTTCAGAAAATGCACATATTTACAAAGAAGCTACGCCTACTAGCATGTTTCTGCCATAAGGTCACCTAGAGATCATGTGGGGCCCAGTGAACATCAGCCATCAGATTTGCTGGTGGGTGAAAGGTAAATGAGCCAAGAGAAACCTAGTGAAAAATAACCTGGTTGGACATTGAGTACTTATGGCTGAAGAAGTTGGCTTAGATAAACTCCAGTTCCTACCTGTGCTAGAGACCAGTTGCCATGAACTAGAATGTACAAGGTTTCAAGTGGTGAAAGAAGCTATCTAGAACCTCACAAGAAGCAGTTGTTAGAGGAATACATAAAGCAACTACAATTAAAAACAACTCTATGTCTCTCTTCAGTGTCTACAGAATCCTCGATCAAGAAGTATTTAAGTGAAGAACACATTTGTACTTCCCCAAATCCACCTGGGTGATTTTGCTAAAAACCAGTCTCATACCTTCAGGAGTATCAACAAAGCCTTACTACTGTTTTCTCTGATTTCACTCAAAACCTGTGTGGGTTGCATGAGGAGGGCTTGCATGCGTGCCAAGTCGCTTCAGTCGTGTCAGACTCTGCAACCTATGGACTGTAGCCCACCAGACTCCTCTGTCCATCAGATTCTCGAGGCGAGAATACTGGAATGGGTTGCCATGCCCTCCTCCAGGGGATTGTCCCTACCCAGGGATCAAGCCTGTGGCTCCTGCCTTGCAAGCAGATTCTTTACCGCTGAGCCACCGGGGCAGCCCCAATGAAGAGGGCTTATTCTCCTGCATTTTTCAGATGAGAAAACGGGCCCAGGTTGTGACACACACCCCTGCCCCGTTCACATGGAGAGTATGTAGACCTCTGAAAATTGACAGTGCCTTTCAGATCTTCTGCCTTCCCTCAAAAAATAGCAGAGGGCTGTGAGACTCACCACATCCTCATGACTGTTACTCTCTATTCATTTGTCAACGAAGACACTTCAGCTTTATGCTAGTCTCGAGTAGTTATTGAAACCTCCCATTCAGCAGCTCTCGCTTTCTTCTTGAACACCTTCCCTAACTGGGAGAAATTCTGTGAGCTCCTTGAAGACTGCATCTTGCTCTCTCTGACTTCATGTCACTCCCTCTCCCTTGCCTTTTACTTTGAACCTAACAGGCACCTTAATAAAAAATCAGTGGATTTGGTAGCACTAAGGATGAGTGCTGGTTGGATCCTGTGATTGGCAGTGCTTCTGAGGGAACAGATGTTCCCATTCAAATCCATGAAACTGGAAACATTAAAAAACAACAATCAGGACATTGATTGATAGTGATATTTACTGCGTCAGACTGTTTAAGCTCAGCTCTAAAACAGATCATCACATACTGTCGTCTTTTCATTTTGATTTCAGAGATTCTCACACACTTAAATCATGTCACTTGACTCAGATTCTAAGTCTTGCTTGGTGTCCTATGGAGTATTTCCTTATCAAATTACAGCCCCGTGCTTTTGAATTTCACACTCGCAGCCTCTCCTTCCCGAGAAAACGGCACCTCTGGGTGCTTTGAAGATATTTTTGATCCGTTTACAAGAAAATATTTACCAGCTGGCAGGGCATGTACTGCTGTGCTGAGAACACTATAGACAATGCAGGGCCGGGGAGAGGTGTATGTGTGGCCGGGTAGCCTGTCTGCACGGATTTCCTAAATCCCCTGCCTGCCAGATGGGTGGTGATCATTTGAACTGGTGCATAAGAGGTGATCTTAGAACCTGAAGAAGTATTCATCTAATCTTGAGAGCAGACGAGGCTGAAGGGCTCTCCTCTCTGTCTGATCCAGGTCCTGAGAGCCCCTTGCCATGAGTACCTCGGGCCTGTTCCGTTTTCCCGCCCCACTGACCAGAGTGTGCCCAGTGCCTTGGGCACTCCGGCTCTGCGAGAAGCTGCCGCTCCTGTCCCCAGGAACGGTGGCCACTCTGGTGCAGGCAGCCGGCAAGAAGGACCGCCCCGCGCTGCTCTCCCTGGACGAGCATGAGCTTGAAGAGCAGTTCGTGAAAGGCCACGGTCCAGGGGGCCAGGCAACCAACAAAACCAGCAACTGCGTGGTACTGAGACACGTGCCCTCGGGCATTGTCGTCAAGGTAGAGGAAAGTGGTCTCGGGGTCCCCCGATTTCTCCTGAGTGACAGCTGTGGCCCCTGCAGTGGGGGACTGTGGTCTCGGGCCCGGCCCCAGGAGCCCCCCTCCCAGGATCTTGTGCAGCTGCGCTCTTAACTGCTGCCGGCCTTGAACTTGGCAGGCCCCACAGTTCTTGTCGAGCCACTGGGCTGCAGAGCGACTGCAGAGGGCTCTGTCTGTGGCCCTGCCGTGGGCTCTGGGCCCCCAAGCAACCCGCGGGCCCAGGCCGTCTGCCAGTAGGCTCAGCCCTTAGCCACCTGGCTGATGCCTCAGACGGCTGCACCCTCCATGTCTCTCTGTCCCCACTTTGGTAAATGTCAGCAACACCTGCCCTTCTGGAGAAGGACTGAGTGAGGTAACGAGGCAAACTGATGTCAGCCCTCAACAGAATGGGCCGGCAGAGACTCCTGAATATAAAAACCCAACCACTGATCTGCACATTGCCAGCCATCAACACAGACTGCACTCTAAGAAAGGGTGTGCTTTCTCTTGTTTCCTGGTTTGCTAGTGGCCTCACTGGCTCTGGAACTGCCGGTCTGTCCCGTAGCCCCAGGGCCCTGAAGGCAGCACAAGCCTCAAGGCACAGTGGAAAGAGGACTGGCGGGTTTTCCTACACCAGTGGTACCATTAGCAAGTACTTGAGCATGTTGTTGGCCGGCCCTGTTCTGAGCAGCTTCACATTCACGCTAACTCTGTTCTGAGCAGCTTCACATTCACGCTAACTCTTAATCTTTACAAGCCCACGATCATAAGGTGGAGCCTGAGGCCCAGAGAGTTTCCTCCAGCTGCCAGAGTCAACTCGGACCAAACCCAAAGTCTGGTCCTGACAGCCGTTCTTTGCTGCCATATTTCTGAGCATATTAGTTAAAATCTCAATCATTTTTCGTTTCCTCCTCGAAAAACTTATTCATGAGCAACAAATAAAACTCTGAAACCTACCATAGTTAAATTTGTTTAACCTATTTCATATAGCTTACTCCAAATCTGCTTGAAATGTTATCTTTTCACCCTAATTTAACAGAATTTATCAAATAAATTAGCTTTGCAAGGCACTCGCCAGTTATAAGAGATGTTACATAATGAACATCATGGTTGACTAATAGCACATGTGTGCATGCTAAGTCACTACAGTGGTGTCCAGCTCTGCGACCCTATGGATTGTAGCCCACCAGCCTCCTCTGTCCGTGGGATTCTCCAGCCAAGAATACTGGAGTGGGTTACCATTCCCTTCTCCAGGGGATCTTCCCAACCCAGGGATTGAACCCACATCTTTTATGTCTCCTACATTAGCAGACAGGTTCTATTTATAAACAGGGCACACAAGAGGGCTTGCTTAGACATACTGGTTGACATTTCCAAAATTATCTGGGGACTTTCTTTGAAGGCTATTGTTACTTCTAAACAAAACACTCCAAATATTGGCACAGTCACAGTGAAAGTCACGTTAACAGCTGGGGTGTGGGACTGGGCACGGCCCGGGCAGAGGCAGGAGGGAGCTTGGCTTTCGTCCTGCCACTGACCCGCTGGGACTCCTGACAAGTGGCTTTGCCCCTGCGGGCCCGACCCCTCTGTAAAGGGATGAGGTTGTCTAATGACTACCAAGGTCCTGCCCAGGACACACCGGCTTTCACATTATGAAATATCATCTCTTACAGTGCCACCAGACCAGATCCGTTGACCAAAACAGAAAGCTAGCTCGGAGAATCCTGCAAGAGAAAGTGGACGTCTTCTACAATGGCGAAAACAGTCTCGTTTGCAGAGAAAAACGAGAGGCAGAGAAGAGAAAGCAAGAAAGAAAAAAAAGAGCAAAGGAAACCCTCGAGAAAAAGAAACTCTTGAAAGAACAATGGGAAGCTAGTAAAAATGTGCCGGGAGAGGACTGCAGGTTCTGACTGAAGGAACCAGCCGACTGGCCTCCAGCTTTCAGAGGAGTGTGTGTGTGCCGGGCCCCAGAGACAGCCAAGTCTCTAAACAGCAGACAGACTGTCACGAATAGAGGTGCAGACTCTGAGAATAAAACTGTATAGAAACCCAAGGAAGTCATTACTGGAGAAGGAACAGGGGCGCTTTTGTGGGGGAGGAAAGGTTATGGTGATGGGAGGCTTGGAGGGCCTCCAGGGCAGCTGCAGAGTCTTCTTGACCAGGGTGGTAAGTAGAAGCATGTCCCCTTTTAAGCTATACATTTGTGTGACTGTATCATATTTTATTATCAAAAGTGAGAAGTATTTTTGGAAAAAAAAAAAAGACTTTTTATGGAAAATGATAGAATTGAGTCAAACTAGCATTTTTAGTGCCTCCTTGTCATCTGCTGGGACGTCACTGATCATTGACACGTGGATGTCAGCTAGCTTCATGTCAGGTTAAGAGAATAAAAGAAAACAAGATGGTGGAAGATTTACAAGTTGGTAACCCACTTGCCCATTTACCCCATTAGCTTAATAGACTGTATGTTGACAAGTGACCACTCTGGTGTGGAAATACATCATTCCCTGTATGTGGATCTACAAGTAGTAGGTTTATGAGAGATGAGGTTTCAGAAACCTGGTTTGTGAATTTGCTTGATACCATTCCTCAAGCCAGATTTGACCTTACAGATTGTTGGTGGGGGAGAGGGGAGGGTTAGGCATGGTTATTAACTTGGTTTATTAGAATCCATCCGGAGTTTATGCAAAAAAACTAGGAAGGAAACAAAAACCATGAGGTGAGAAAGCCACCGTCAGACACAGGACCTGCCTCATTTCTTCACTGAAGACCAGATTGCATGGTAGTTGTGGTTTAGTCGCTAAGTCATGTCCAACTCTTGGGATCCCATGGACTGTAGCCTGCCAGGCTCCTCTATCCATGGGATTCTCCAAGCAAGAATACTGGAGTGGGTTACCATTTTCTTCTCGAGAGGATCTTCCCGACCCAGGAATTGAACCTGGATCTCCTGCATTGCAGATTCTTTACCAACTGAGCTATGAGGGAAGCCAGACTGCATGCATCCCAGTAAAATGACTTGTAAGGAAACCAGGTAAGGCTCTTCTCAACTAGCAGTGGCCTGGTTTGGAAGCTTAGCTCCATGCAAGGCTCTGGACCTCTGGCCGCAATATGCAGGGCCCTTCCAATCTCCAACCTCCTTTTAGAAGGTAGCCAAGAGAAGCATCTGGAATGGTACACAAGAGACAGTCTAAGTGGACAGGAAATTTGGGGGAGCTTCAGACAAGAGGGACAAGCACTTTAATGTCTATCTCCCTTCATGAATTTCTTATTAGGTCCATGAAGGAGATGAGCAGACAAGCCAGCTCCCTAATACCCACCTACTGGCCTTTAGAGCCGTCATGGCTGGGGTCTGGCCTCATACCTGTATAACTGACCACATCCCTCCTCTTAAGTCTTACCTCTCGCCACGGTAAACCCTCATTATATGGGGAGCAATGTCTAAGGAACACAGGAAGGATGACCTCAAAGTCCCTCTGGAAGGCACTCCTGGGGTTCCTGTGGTTCTCGGGACATCCCAGGCAGCCCACTTTTCCCAGCACTGGGGCAAATAGTTCTTACCATCTGGTGAGACTAGGGTAAGCAGCTGGAGTTTAGTAGCTGCATTATATGGGGGGCGGGGGGGGGGGGATGCTCATAGGATAAGTTCCTAAAAACAGAATGGCCTAAGGGAGGCGAGCTCAGAAAGGGCAGGATCAAGGGCTTCCCTGGTGGCTCAGTGGTGAAGAATCTGCCTGCCGATGCAGGAGACACAGGTTCTACCCCTGATCTGGGAAGATCCCACATGCCACAACCATCGAGCCTGTGCTCTAGCGCCCAGGAGCCGCAGCTACTGAGCCCCTGCGCCCTGGAGCCTGTGCTGCTCAAGTGAAGCCACCGCAATGAGAAGCCTGCCAACCGCAACTGGAGAAAAGTAACACGGCCTCTACTCTTTCTCCTTCCTCCTTCACTTAACACCTGCTGTCGTTAAGATGCATCCACTCTGCAGCTTCACCCGATCCTTGACTTACCCAACACATCCCGTCCCTGGCCCGCTGTGCTACTGACACTGCCACACAAAACATTCCTGGACCAGGTGGGAAAATGCCCTTTGACAGGTCTCTCCCACCTCTCGCTGAGGAGCTGTTTTTTTAAAAACATCACCAAGAATTCAAGGAACCCACATCTTAATACAAGCTGTTAATGAAAATAAGCTTTATTACATCAAGTAATAAATACAAAGACGCAAACAGTTCCATTTTCTTCCAGATGTTTGGGTCAACCCTCAGAAAAGGCAGAACTGAAATCTACATACAGTCTTAGGAAAAATTTCAGGGGTCCGTGTTAGGTTTGGTTTGGGAGGTTGCTCTTTTCTTCTGTATTTATAACTTGTGCATTTTAGAATGGACTTCAAAGCACTAATAATCATGCAAATATGTTTAAGCAAAAAAGAAGTTATATTAAGCAGAATCTATACCATATGGCAAACGAGGGGACTGGCTACTAGGTTAAGTGTGCTGTCAAGTCCGTACTACTGAAAAAAAAAAACTTCAAGTTGTATCAGCTTGTGAAAAGGAACACAGAACAATCTGGGTTAACATAAATGTATTCAAAAGAAAACCAGACACTGGTATCTCAGAGTCAAAACTAGTTTGCTGTAAGACAGGTAACTTCTACGTGCATCTTTTGAATCAATGCTTTTAAAAAAAGAAAACAAAACCACAAACACCTGGGAAGTTCCTAACTATTTCCAATGTAACTCCTAATCAATTGCAAAATCTTTCCTCAATCTTAAAGAGACTGTAGATTCAGAGCCTAAGTGAACCACGGGAGGGGCAGGGGGACGAGAAACTGAACTGGTTAACCATCTTGAAAACAAAAGTTTCATCTCAACAAGGGAGGTGAACCATAACTTCTCTGGGAAGAAGCTGGAAAACCTCCAGGCTCACAAGGCAGCTAGGACCTGGCGTTCCGTTCCGTTTCAGCCAGGCACTCCCGCACCAATCCTCGGGCATGGATGATGCCTGGAAGAGAAGCAGAAACAGGAGTCAGAAGGCAGCACCAACTCCAGGAGTGGAGAGCGGTCCTTCCACAACCAGCTGCAGAAACCTCAGATTGGAGAGAATGTGGAACCTGTATTCTATGACCCAAACCCCATCCAATCCCTCAAAGCCAACACTCCTCATCTCATCTCCCTAAAAATATTTTGTCCCGTGCTCAAGATGACAAACCAGCAAGCTCTCTTTTCCTGACATTACTCTCTACACAAACCATGTTACCGTCCAGATGCCAGGAGTAAGTGTCTCCACCCAGTTCTTTAAGCAAGGACCCATGACAGAGATTGCAGGCCAAGTCGCTTCAGTTGTGTCCGACTCTGCAACCCTATGAACTGTAGTCCTCTAAGCTCCTCTGTCCATGGGTTTCTCCAGGCAAGAATACTGGAGGGTTGCCATACCCTCCCTCCAGGGGATCGTCCCAACCCAGGGATCGAACCCACAACTTTTGTCTCCTGCATTGGCAGGCAGGTTCTTGACTACTAGTGCCACCTAGGAAGCCCACTATGGAGCTTTCAAACCATTATTTTTCCTAAATTCTACAAGGGACTTGGGAGTGTCAGGTAGCCTGCCCAGATTTGGGCACAAGATGAAGGCTCACCCAGTCTCACCCTGGTTTACTGCTTCATCCTTTCCACTAGGGACTGGTGCCATCTATGATTTGATTTTCCCCTCATCTTTTATCACTATGGTTTGGGAGTTATCATTTGGGTTTTGTTTTTGTTTTGGCTTTACTAAACTTCATGAAACATTTACCTCATTTTAATTGACACCAAGAATCTATTCCTTCTAAGAGCTGACCCCAAGAGGGCCATAGGAATGACACCCCAAGTCACTCAGGTATCCCCACCTCACAAATCTTATTCCCCAGAGCTTCTGAAGACTTTCAGCAAAGGTCGTACGTACAGCCAACTGTCACAGCTACTCCACTCTTATCATACCATGATACCACGACAGAGCCCAGACATTACACAAGCGATGGGTGTGACCACGTTCCAACAAGTCTACTTAAACGCCAGTGTTTGAATTTCGCAGAATTTTGACATGTCACAGATTTTTTTTCCATTGTTAAAAACCACAAATAGTTCACTCTCAGTTTTTGGCACCAAAAAAAAAAACAACAAAAAATGCAAATAGGAACTTCCCTGGTGGTCCAGTGGTTAAGACGCCACGCTTCCACTGCAGGGGACATGGGTTCCATCTCTGGTTGAGGAACCAAGATCCTGCATGCAGCGTGGTGCAGCAAAAAATAGAATAATAAAAACGCAAATAGCATTCTTGGTGCCTGATTCTCCATGCCCTAGGACCCTCCTTCCTTGCTATGATGTAAACTTGGCAAGCTCTCTCAGCTACTGGTCAGGGCGACTGTGGGACTAGGTGCTCACCCAGGATGCGCCCTGCCACCAGTCGCTAGGTGTATCCACGTGTTGACCTGAACTGCCAGCTTTGCTGGGTGGCTGCAGATAGCCCATCAGACAGCATCTGGGGCCCAGCATCTCCACAGGCATGCCCACTCAGGTAACCAGCACTCCAGTTTACCAGGACTGTGGGCGGAGTGATGCCCCCCTGACCCCTATGGTTGGACTGGGGTTAAGCTCATTCTCTCCCCCAAGGCCTCTTCTAGCCCCTACTGCCAGCCTCCCCTCCCCACACCAATGCCTGTTATTCTCTGATCCAGCTTTGTAATCAGCCTCTTCACATAGGTAGTCACCACCAGTTACTGTTTTGGGGGGAGGGGGAAACTTGTCCTCAGCCAGCCTTGCCCATCACTGGAGCCGTGGCTTGACTACCGCCGCGCCCCCCTCCGCCCCTGCCGTCACGCCCCAGATTCACAGCCACAGAATGTTCCCCTCTCTCGTTTTTCTCCAAAGTTGCTTCTCTAACCTTAAAAAAAAAAAGAAAAAACCCTCCTAAAATTAAATTCGCACATAAGCCACCATGCTCTGAACTGCCACCTTCTAAAATAGAAATCCTTTTCTCCTCTCCACTCCCCTTTCACTTCGTGAAGCAGCAACCAACCTATTTCACTGCCTTCTGAAGTCAGCTGGCCAGCCACATCTTCACGTGAGTCCCTTTCTCCTGGTGACACCAGCCTCCCGCCCTCCCTCCCTCTTCAGTCACGAAAGAACTTCAAAGCGCTCTCACCCTCTGCCCCACACCCCTCCTCGGGGCCCAGCTCCAAAGAGGTCACACAGGGCAATGCGGGCCCCTGTGGCCCCAGGACCAGAGTCGGCCAGCCGGAATGAAGCAGGCATAAGGCAGAGCTGCAGGATCTGGGTACAAAGGCTTTTTTTTTTTTTTTTTGGTCGCACAGCCTATGGGATCTTGGTTCCCTCACAGGAATCGAACCTGCACCCCCGTGCAGTAAAAGCACGGAGTTTTGGCCAGTGGACCTCCGCCCCTAGGGAAGCCCCAGGGCTTCCCTTCTCAGATGCCTCTGAAAATTGGCCACCAAGCCCCTTCCCCTCAGATCCCCAGGACAGTCTAGCTCATGCTGCCTCAACAGTCACTCTGAAACAAAATGAGCGCCCTGTGCCGTAGGGGATGCTTCTGTCTGCCACCCTCCGTTTTCCCCAAAAGATCTTTCAAGACAAGTAGAGAGACTGCCAGGGGTCAGCCAGCAGAAAGGCATCACCCACCAGGGGAGTCCAGGGCCCAGGACTTGCCTCGTTTTAGTCTCTCCATCGCACTCTTGCTGCCCGCATAGGTGGGTCTGATCTCCTTCCCCAGCTCTTCGATGATGGCCAGCAGCTCGGCATATTTGCTCTGGGGCACCTGGCTGTTCCCAGTGCCCTGGAATCAGAAAGGAAAGCGTTCAGAAGATTGCGCCCAACCTGACCCCAAGGCCACAGTCAGGACCCCACTGCACGCCAGTGGCACAGGGCCAGGGCAGGGGAGCGGCCTGAGCCCAGAGGCAGCAGGGCGGAGGGAAGGCGGCCCGGCCCAGACTCCCAGGGCAGCTGCCTCCGCTGCAGCCAGGCACGTCCCCTCTGGGCAACAACTACAGGCCAGGGAGCCGGCCTTCTCTACTGTCCTCGTACACTCAAGGCCACCACCCAGCAGTCTCCAGAAAGCCCTCTGATCATCTCAAATAAGGGGAAAAAAGTCAACAGAAAGGTGATCACTGAGAATTTCCTGGAAGGAGCCATGGCTAGACAAGTGATCCTGGGAGGGCTGGGGATCCAGAGTGAGTGGCCGAGATGGATGCCACACCTGGGGGTCAGCAGGACTAGAAAAACTGCCAAAGGCCACCCAGACAGAATCCAGAATGTATTTAGATTCATCCCTCCTCCCCACACTGGCAGGGTCCACCACACTGAAACCCTTTCCTTCTAGATCCCCCTCCAACCGCCCCCAGCAAACACAGTCGTCAGTAAGGCCGAGTTCCCACCAGCCTGCTTGGGCCTCCCCGCCCCCAGCAGCTGCATCAGGCCAGCCACCTCCCCCGGGGAGGCCCTCGCCTGCTCCCCCCGCCTCTGCTTCCTGGCCTCCAGGTCCTTCCTCCTCTCCTTGTCTGGCTCCTCGGCATCCTCTGGGCACCTCCTCTGGGCCCCTCGGTCCTGCCTCCTCTGCTCTGGCCGTGGCCTCAAGGCCGGGGCGCTCCGGGGTCTGTCCAGGCCACGCCTGGCCCCATCCTCCAGCCACCACCTCTTCAGGGGGGGCCTCACCCCCACCCGCTTCCCCTCTGTGGGCAGGAGGGCCTGGCGGGGCATGGCTGCGGGCCGCCACCTCATCCCCCAGGGCAGGGCCGGCCTCCGTGGCGACCTCGGAACATGAGTTGCAGCCACGGGAGAGAATCTCCTGGCTGGTGGCCCAGGCGCCGCACCCCCATCCCCGGCCCAACTCAAGGCAGCACTTCCTAAGGAGCGGAGACTGCCTCCACTGATGGCCCCCCAACCCTGAAGGGGAAAGTCAGTCTCAGCTAGTTTTGGGGTGGAGAGGAGGGGGTCAGAGCCCTGTGACCAATGGAACCAGATGTAAAACTCAGGGGCCACCAGCTCTTGATGGAACCTACCTGGGCTCCACTAGGCTACCGGCCCCGTCCTCCCTGCTGGGGCCACAACCTCGTGGCAAGTGAGTGGGAACAGGGTCCCCTCCCCTCTGTCTAAGCTCAGATCCACAGTCCAGGCTGGACCTCACTTGCCCAGGCCCCGGGCATGAGGAGACCCATCAGGGACACACGTGGGGTGGTGGCCCCAACGGGAACGGCGGCTCCCAGGGCTTCCAGCGTCTCTGGGCTCTCCCAGCCCTTCCTGTCACTCAGCGTTCCCCGTGAACCAAGGCCCTGAGCCCCGAGCGCGAGCCCAGCCAGGGCCCTGGGCTGAGGAAGCTGGGGTGACCACGCCATCGCATCACTTCTGCTCCTCCCGCTGCCCCCGGCCCCCCCTCACATCGCCCCCGCTGCCATACCTGGGTGTAGCCTAGAGACGGCGGCCCGTAGTCGCTCAGCAGCTGGCGGTACTGTGAAGACGCGGCCATGCTGGCGGGGGGCGGGTGGGCGCTCCCGGCTGTGGGGGAGCAGACCAGAGTCAGTATCGCAGGCGCCCTGGCCAACTGTGGCCACTGCCGAGGTAAGGACCCTGGGCTCCCCCGCCCGGGGCTCGTGCCATCAACAAGGGGCTTCTGTCTCCGAGGAGAGAGAGCCCTCCTCCCGTCTTCTAGCTCGGCGGTGGCTGACACTCGGCCTACAAGACTGACAGTAAAAAGTAACTAACAGACCGCTGCCCTTCACACCCCGACCCCAGCAGACATGGCTAATCAACCACAGAGCCCCTTCCCATTCCTGCCATCAAAGACTCAGAGCAGAGGAAAGCTGCTGCTATTCTCAGCCTAATGCTTTCCAGTCCCCTTTCCCTGGGTCCTGCGCCTCAGAGGCTGACAGCCTAGGAACCCATGGCTCCACAAGAGCCCAGCTGCTACTAAGGCTGGTCCACACTCAGGCTAAGACTTCCGAGTGCCCAGACTTCTGCTGGACGACACAGTGAGGGAGACGGGAAGGTTCTGGAGTCCGGAGGCCCGACCCTGGCCGGGGGCTGGTGTGCGTGTGCACTCAGTCGTGTCTGAATCCTGGTGACCCCACGGACTGCAACCCGCCAGGCTCCTCCGTCCATGGGATTCTCCAGGCAAGACCCCTGGAGTGGGCTGCCACACCCTCCCCCAGGGATCTTCCCGACCCAGGGACTAAACCCGTATCTCCTGAACTGGGGGAGGGCGGGGGGGTGGTTCTTTTACCGCTGGGGCCACCTGCGAAGCCCACTGGGCACCAAGTCAGGGATCTGGAGCACATCACAGCCTGTGTGTCCCTGGGCATGTCCCTCAACCTCTCGGAGCGGCTATCACGCCTCCCCGAGAGGGGACCAGACTCTTGCCAGTCTGAATCTATGCTTGATGGCTCATGCCCCCAGAGGGGAGGAGTAAGGCCCGACTTATGGACTGCCACAATGGAAGATGCTGTCCCTCAGCGGAGGGACCACGTGGGGCCAGGGCCTGGCTCAGAATGAAGTCTCCTGGATGGGGGATGGGGAGGTCCGCAGCAGGGAATATTCCAACTCCAGCTCAGTAGCTGGAAGCGCGCAGACCCATAATGGCGTCCAAGTGGCCATTAGCGGGTAAAGGATGTCCTGCGGAATTACAAACAGCGGTAACCATGGAGAATTTACCTAGCCCTCCTCAGCAAGCGGCCCGCCTGCCTCCACGCCTGGCCCGGGAGCAGCTTCCCCTCTGCCTGCCGCCCCCGGAGCCAGTCTCTCTCTCTCTCTCTCTGTCTCTTTCTCTCTCACGCACACAGCGGGCTCTGCAGACTTGGCCCCGGGGATGGACAGCTGGTGCCAGGCCAGCCAAACCGACCAGCTGCTCATGTGGTGTGGGCAAGGGGAGGGGCGGGAGAGGAAGGAAGTTCAGGGGCTCAGGCTGCTGAAGCTAGAAGGGGCCCTGGAGCCCCTCACTGCAGAAAGTGAAACACAGACCAGAGAGGGTGGGCACTGCCCCCGGGCCACACAGCACAGAAGAGGCTAACACCTCACACCTGTCCCTCTGTCCAAGAGCTGAGGATAATTCTGTACCCAACCTGACTGGCCCTGGATCTCTCCACTGGGGCTCAGATTCATGCCCAAGTATGGGATGCCCAGACAAGAAACATGGATTTTGCCACCTCTAAGTTGGGGACTGAGGATAGCACCCAGCTGCCATGCCTCTACAAAGAAGGGCTGCTCACACACCTGTGCTACAGAAGCACACTCTCGTCTGCGACCTCCATCTGAGGCAACCATGGGTGTGCAGTGACCAGAGCAAGGGAATGTAGCGGGCGCCCCCCCACCAGCTCCCCTCACCACATCAGCCAAACCCCAATTTCCTGGCCTTCTGATGTGGGTGGTGTGTGGTCTGGGTGGCTCAGGCTTCACTGCCCCAGGCCAGGGTTCAAGTCCCCACCACTGCAAGTTCTTACACTTCCCTCTGTAAGGCTGGGATGCTAAAGGCAAGAGTGGGGAAGGGGGGGAGTTCATGACACTGCTCAGCACTTCAAGGCATCTAGAAGATTCCAGCTCCCGGGCAGGAGATGAGTGCATTCTCTGTCCCCCCTCCAGCCCTCCTCCTCCTATTACTATATTCTGTATGTCTTGTCTCCCTGACCCATCCTCTCTCCTGCAGGCAAGCGTCTAGACTGGGAGCCAGGCCAGCTGTGCCATACTGGGCTGCGGGACCTAAGACATGGCCCTTCTCCCTCTGGCCTCAGTTTCTCCATCTGTTTGAGGTAACAGTTTCCAACAGAATGTCTAAAGGCTCTAGAACCTGCTTCTCCACAGTGCTGGCGTTAGGTCCTGAGAGAGGGAGAAGGAATGGGTTGCGGACGTGGAAGTGGTATGAAGAAGTCAGGCAAGAGCCCAGAGCTTGACTTTCCTATCACCTGGGTGATGTGGTAGGCGACCCCAACTCTGAGCCAGTCCTTTGCTCAGTGTTCAGAGGGGGGGGTGTCTGTGGCCCTGGGAAGAGTTGGTGGAGGGGCCCCAAGTTCCACTCATGCCCACAGCTTCCTGCAGACGCAGGGAGGGCTGGCGGTCCGGCTGCCCAAGGCCAAGGAGAAAACCAGACAGGGCGTGAGCGCGGTCGTCTCGGAGCATCGCAGACAATGCGCGCAGTGTGCGGGGACCAGGGAGGGCCCTGAGCCGAGGGAGGGATTGGCAAAGGCCAGCAGCTCCTGGGGCCAGGCGCGGCTCCCCGCCCCCACGCCAGACAAAGAGCGGCCCGGGCCTGGGGAGCTGGCGGCCTTCCCGCCACTTGGGGCGCCTGGGGGGGCTCTCTGGCGGGGAGGCGGGGGCTTTGTCTAACTCCGCCACTGCCACTGCTGGCCAGGCCGCGGCTTGGCAACTCGCGAGCAGGAGGCAGGGCTGGAGGGCGTGAGGGATGATGACAAGGAAGCCGGAGGAGCGGCAGCGGAGAGTCCATCTTGGATGCAAATGGCACAGGGAGATGCGGGCTTTCTAAAGGGGTCCACGTAGAGTGGGGGGGCGGCCCCTCACCCGAACACCAGAGATCTGGAGACCTCAGCGCTCTTCCCGGAGTTCACCACAGGAGAAGGAAGACAATCTGGACACAGGTGCTAGGCAGCTCAGAGCAGGGCTTCAGGGCGCCTGAGCGGGTGACTCGCTCCCTCTGGGACCCCAGTCCCCGAAGGGCCAGGTTCAGCGCCCCTGCCTCAACTGCACTAGGGCAGCCTGAGACCTGCCCCCGACCTGGGCGGGCAGCAAGACCCTCCAGCCATCCCACCCCAGAGTCAGATGAGGGAGGCAGTGGGAAACACTGTGGCCACAAGGCCTGCCTCTTAAGGTATGCAGACCCCAGAGATGAGAGCATTTCAGCTGAAAATAGGGGCCGTTTGCTCCTGGGGCTCAGACAGAGCCCACACTTGATCAACTCAACTATCTACCCCCACAGCCATCCACACCCTGAATCTTAACCCTTTCCAATCTCCAAATCTCTGTCCAAGAAGTTAAATATACATACACCACCTATATACACCTATGTATAGGTATATACATACATGCATATACATTTAGTGATTTTCTGGTGCGCTCTTCAGATTTTGGAGTTACCGAGTCAACATTCGGAGACAAGGCCCAAAACTTTCGGCCAACTGCCAGCGTGGCATTTCTGACCAGCCAGGCCCATCTCCCTGCCAAGCCCCTGCCTCCACCCCCACCTCCATGCACCTCGCTTTTTTGGAAGTTTCCCACCAAGAGTCTAAAGAAGAACCTCGGTGAGAGGGGACAGAGTCAGTCACCTACGAACCCCACAAAATTTTACCACCAGCCACATACCCCTCCCACACACACACCCCGCCCCCGCCCCGGTCTCTGGGGCAAGACCCCCGGACTCAGCCTAAAGCTGCCAGACAACTTATGCAGGAGTTTCCTGGGACCGCCCAGCTTCAGCCCCAGCACCGGGAGAGCACGGCTCCTGCAGGAGGCCCCTCTAAACCCAGACTTGGGGGCTCCAAGATGTGGGACCCCGGCTGCAATGCCTCCCCCGCCCTCCGCCTGCAGGCAACTCCGAAGCCCCGGGTCTTCTCCAACTTCTCTCACTCCGCGCACGCCTGAGGGGACCTTCCGTGCGCCCCGTTTTGGACACCAGCTCCCCCACGCCAGGCCGGGCGGGCGTCCACAGACCACCTCCCCTGCACCGCCGGTGACCCCAGCTGCCCCGCGCCCTCGGGGGCGGCTGCAACCTGGCGCTCTCGCCACCCCGCAGCGCCGCCTGCGCGTGGCCCGGCCTTGCTCACGTGCACCCCTGCCGCCCGGACCCCCCGCCCAGGCCTACCCCCCAGGTCCCCAAGGGCGGCCCCGCGCCCGCTCCCGGAGCCCCGCTCCCGGCGCGGCCGGGCCGCTCCCGATTCCCGCCGGCAGGGGCCCTCGCCGAGCCGCCCAAAAGCCGGAGGAAAAAGGAGCCGAGAAAGCCTCCCCCGCCCTCGCTCGCCGCGCTCCCCACGAGCCCTCGGCCNCCGCGGCCGGGCGTCAGGGGGCGGTGCCGCCCGCGGCCGCGCCCCGCGTCTCCGGGCGCGCTCGGCGCCCGCAACTTGGCAAAGTTTGGGGGGCTGGGGTCCCGGCAGCGCCCGAGGCCCACCTGGGTCCCTTTCTTCTGCTGTGCTGGCGGTGCCTGGAGATTTGTTCCTGTACCGATTAATTTTTTCTTTTCTTTTTTTCTGAAGCTAGGTAGGATTGCGGAATTACTTTTTTTTTCCCCCCCTTGACTGTGGGGGCAGGGATGGAAAATTACCTGGAGAAAATGGTGGCGAGTGGTATTTTTAAGCACGTAGATCATTCCAGACGCCGAGGTCTGGCTACTCCCCAGAATAAGAACAACCAGTTCTTGACATTGATTTCAAATAAATTTCACGTCCCTGTCGGTATTAAGTGGTTGTTAACCCCTTGGCGGCCTAGACTCCTTTGACACTGGACAAAAGCCGGAGGCCTCCTCCCGCGAAAAACACACCGTCGCATTCACCTAATTTTGCATCTTAACTCATTCAAATATTTAAGAAGCGCCTGCTGTGTGGCGGGCACTGTTCTAGGCGCTAAGAAGACAAGAATAAATTTGACCAAGTTTCTTCTCTCCTGGAGTATACATTGCAATTTTTTACCCTCTTCCGACCCCACCA